CAACTTGTTGTAAGCTTGGTTTTTAAGCTTAACCCAAGCTTGGGTAAACCAACTTATAAGCTTAAGCTAGGTTTGTTTTAAGATTCATAGTTTACTCTTTTTTAGCTTGGTATTAAGGCTTAACCCAAGCTTGAAAAACCAGCTTATAAGCTTAAACTAGGCTTGTTTTAAGCTTGGTTTTTAAGCTTAACCCAATTTGGGACTAGGCTTGTTATAAGCTTGGTTTTTAAGTTCAACCCTATTTGGGACTAGGCTTGTTATATGCTTGGTTTTTAAGCTTAACTCATGCTTGGGTAACCAGCTTTTAAGCTTAATCTAGGCTTGTTATAAGCTACAAAGGTTTACTTTTTTAGCTTGTTATAAGCTTGATTTTTAAGCTTATCCCAAGTTTGGGTAACCAGCTTATAAGCTAAACCTTGGCTTGTTATAAGATTGGTTTTTAAGCTAAACCCATTTTGGGACTAGGCTTGTTATAAGCTTGGTTTTTAAGCTTAACTCAAGTTTGGGTAACCAGCTTATAAGCTTGACCTTGGCTTGTTATAAGCTTGGTTTTTAAGCTTAACCCAAGCTTGGGACTGGGCTTGTTATAAGCTTGGGTTTTAAGCTTAACCCAAGCTTGGGTTACCAGCTTATAAGCTTAAACAAGGGTTGTTATAAGCTACAAAGGTTTACTTTTTTAGCTTGTTATAAGCTTGATTTTTAAGCTTAACCCAAGTTTGGGTAACCAGCTTATAAGCTAAACCTTGGCTTGTTATAAGCTTGGTTTTTAAGCTTAACTCAAGCTTGGGTAACCAGCTTATAAGCTTAAACTAGGCTTGTTATAAGCTACAAAGGTTTACTTTTTTAGCTTGTTTTAAGCTTGGTTTTTAAGCTTAACCCAAGCTTTGGACTAGACTTGTTATAAACTTGGTTTTTAAGCTTAACCCAAGCTTGGGTAACCAGCTTATAAGCTTAAACTAGGCTTGTTATAAGCTTGGGTTTTAAGCTTAACCCTAGCTTGGGTAAACGAGCTTATAAGCTTAAACTAGGTTTGTTTCATTTTCAAAGTTTACACTTTTTCAACTCGTTGTAAGCTTGGTTTTTATGCTTAACCCAAAATTGACCATTGCAAATAAATTATTACTATACAAAGTAATCCTGAAGCCAATTTGGACTTATGGAATCCAACTGTGGGGAACGTCCAGTATGTCGAACATAAACATCATCCAACGATTTCAGTCCAAAGTTTTAAGGTTCATTCTGCAAGCCCCGTGGTATGTTAATTACAATATCCTTCACAAGTACAGTGGAATTCCTACGGTTGAAGAGGAAATAACCAAAATTAGTGCAAAATATCTAAAGAAACTTGAAAATCACCCTAATCACCTGGCTCTAAACCTCTTGGACAACAGTACCAGTATATACAGGCTAAAAAGGATTCATGTTTTGGATCCAAGCACACGTTTTGTTTGAACAATTTAATTTTCCCTTGTTTAGTTACATATTTATTTTTCCATTGAATTATTTTTAAGTTAGCTCTGTCAATGGACAGAGATTAACTAACGTTTTATTAAAAGTTGTTATTGTATTTGCTACATGTTCTAAAAATGAACAGATTGTAAATAAAATTGTGATATAAAAAAAAACCAAGCTTGGGTAAACCAACTTATAAGCTAAAACTAGGTTTGTTTTAAGCTTCAAAGTTTACTATTTTTTAGCTTGGTATTTAAGCTTAACCCAAGCTAGGGTAACCACCTTATAAGCTTAAACTAGGCTTGTTTTGAGCTACAAAGGTTTTACTTTTTTAGCATGTTATAAGCTTTTTTTTAGCTTAACCCAAGCTTGGATAACCAGCTTTTAATCTTTAAACTAGGCTTGTTATAAGCTTGGTTTTTAAGCTTAACCCAAGCTTGGGACTAGGCTTGTTTTAAGAATGGTTTTTAAGCTTAACCCAAGCTTGGGTAACCAGCTATAAGATTAAACTAGGCTTGTTATATGTTTGGTTTTTAAGCTTAACCCAAGCTTGGGTAAACCAGCTTATAAGCTTAAACTAGGTTTGTTTCAGCTTCAAAGTTTACACTTTTTCAACTTGTTGTAAGCTTGGTTTTTAAGCTTAACCCAAGCTTGGGTAAGCCAACTTATAAGCTTAAGCTAGGTTTGTTTTAAGATTCATAGTTTACTCTTTTTTAGCTTGGTATTAAGGCTTAACCCAAGCTTGGATAACCAGCTTATAAGCTTAAACTAGGCTTGTTTTAAGCTACAAAGGTTTACTTTTTTAGCTTGTTATAAGCTTGGTTTTTAAGCTTAACTCAAGTTTTTGTAACCTGCTTATAAGCTTGACCTTGGCTTGTTATAAGCTTGGTTTTTAAGCTTAACCCAAGCTTGGGTAACCAGCTTATAAGCTTAAACAAGGGTTGTTATAAGCTACAAAGGTTTACTTTTTTAGCTTGTTATAAGCTTGATTTTTAAGCTTAACCCAAGTTTGGGTAACCAGCTTATAAGCTAAACCTTGGCTTGTTATAAGCTTGGTTTTTAAGCTTAACCCAAGCTTGGGTAACCAGCTTATGAGCTTAAACTAGGCTTGTTATAAGCTACAAAGGTTTACTTTTTTAGCTTGTTTTAAGCTTGATTTTTAAGCTTATCCCAAGTTTGGGTAACCAGCTTATAAGCTAAACCTTGGCTTGTTGTAAGCTTGGTTTTTATGCTTAACCCAAAATTGACCATTGCAAATAAATTATTACTATACAAAGTAATCCTGAAGCAAATTTGGACTTATGGAATCCAACTGTGGGGAACGTCCAGTATGTCGAACATAAACATCATCCAACGATTTCAGACAAAAGTTTTAAGGTTCATTCTGCAAGCCCCGTGGTATGTTAATAACAATATCCTTCACAAGTACAGTGGAATTCCTACGGTTGAAGAGGAAATAACCAAATTTAGTGCAAAATATCTAAAGAAACTTGAAAATCACCCTAATCACCTGGCTCTAAACCTCTTGGACAACAGTACCAGTATATACAGGCTCAATACCATTTTTGGATCACAGAGTAATGAATCATTTCATGGTGTTGGCAACCAAATTCAAGTCAGTGATGTACATATGAGGAGTGTAATTTCAAGACAAGGCAAACTACAAACGAAAATTTTAAAAAACAAGATTAATGTCATTGAAGCTAGCATGTGGGATGTAATTAATGCAAACAAGAAGAGCCCTACTACAGCATTTGCTCACACCATTTCGAGTGACCTCCAACACCACAAACATATGTCTGCTGGGGTAGCAGTCGTATTTCGAAAGATATTTAGTCGGCCAAAACAGACAGACTACATCAACATAAGATTAATATGCCAGACTGAACCAAGTGGTGCTACAGTGTACGGTCTAGTTACAAAAAAAGAATACAAAGGAAAGCCAACTGAATCAACTTATGATGAGGCTTTTGAACAGCTAATTGAAAATTTCAAAACAAAAAAACTGAATACTCTAATATGTTCTGCCATGGGTTGTGTTCGAGACTTAATACCTATTATTCACTTTGTAAAAAACATTACAAAACTGCACAAAATTACAAATGCTACAATATGTGTGGTGTCGTATGACCAACCAGCTGCTCAGCGGAAATTATGGCGTGGACTCTCACAATCTGAATTTTTAGAGGAGCTGAAAAAAACTATTGATAGAAGCAGCCATGAAGTGGCTTCTCCAGCAGTTCAACCTGACACCTGTGAACAGCCTGTAATACCTGAGATGACAAGTAATCCACAGCAGCCCTCGAATGCTACACCGAACACTGATGTCTCATCCAGCACCACTACCTCTACCCTGCCACTGACGCCTGCTGCTGACTCCCCAACACCTGTGCTGGTTCCTGGTCATCTGCAGTTTAGTGAAGTGGTGAAGTGTTCAGTGGAAAAGCAGAGCAGTGTGAATGTGCCCCAGTTTCTAGCAGCCTCCAACCCAACATCCATTTTAAATATCCCAAATCCCGCATCACAGAGAGAGCCCAAATCAACCCGACCTTTAAACTCACAGATTCCTTTGTCACCTCCACCAAGATAATTGCACCTCTTTCTATTCTGCACCATAATGTACAACACTTACCATCTCGCCTTGATCTTCTGGAAATTGTTCTTAACGAAATAAATCCAGATATTATTGCACTCAGTGAGCATAAGATGACAAAAGAGGAAATAGAACTACTTAACATATGTAATTACACAACAGCATCCTACTTCTCTAGAAGATTGGGGCGAGGTGGTGGTGTAATAATCCTAACCCACAAAAATATAAATCACAAATGTATTGATTTACCTTCTACTCAACCACTTTTAATGGAAAAAGAGTTTGAATATTGTTTGTCTGAGATCAGTACTCACAACTTTACTTTTTTGTTTGGATGTATTTATAGGTCTCCTAACTACTTGAACTTGGACCAATTTTTTGATAATCTGGAAACTCTCTTAAACATACTTTGTAAAAAATTTAAAAAAATTATAATTGCTGGTGACTTTAACATAGATGTTTTGAAGAAAGATGATAAATACAATAAATTTATTAATATTTTAACAATATATGGAATGAGACATACAGTTGACTTTCCGACCCGAGTAACAGAACATTCAAAAACTGCAATTGACAATTTTATTACAAATATAGATCTTCACAATTTACAAGTAACCGGGTTAATTACGCACATCTCAGACCATGATGGTCAATTGATGAAACTGAGAATCACTGACCACAAAAAGCCAAAGCCAATAAGAAAACAAGTGAGAAAATTTAATGAAAAAAATACAGAACTTTTTCTTAGAGGTATAAGTTCTGAGTCCTGGTCTCAGATTTTCCAGTCTATTGTTGAGATGAAGTATAATGTATTTTGTAACATATTTAAGTATCATTTTGAGGTAAATTATCCTAAACTTTATGTAACAGAAAATTTTGTAAACCAAAGAAGTGGATTAATGATGTAATAAAATTAAAACAATCTGAAATAGTTGATTTGGAATCTCAATTCAGAATGCTTAAAGACAATAACATTAAGATACAGATTAAGGAAAAGAAAAAAGAACTACAGAGAGAGATTATCAACAATAAAAAAACATACTTTGAGGAAAAAATTATGAACTCTAGAAATAAGGTGAAAACTACCTGGAACTTAATCAACACTGAAGTAGGTAAATTATCAAAGTCAAATGTAAACATAAAATTGTTTTATGAAGGTAAATTTTTGACAGATCCTGTAAATATTTGTGAAACTTTTAATGAATTTTTGTCAATGCTGTAGAAAGTCTTATAGTTCCTAGAATTACCACAGTGTCTCCTGCAAACAATCATTTTATGACTCAGTTTAATACAACATTTAAATTTGTTACAGTTTCGGAGAGAGATATAAGGAAAACTGTATTATCATTTGAAAATAAACCTTCATCAGGTAATGATGAAATTCCGATATCAATCATCAAGGCAGCATTGCCATTCATCTGTACACCTTTAACACACATAGTCAATCAATCTCTATCAACAGGTGTATTCCCTGAACAATTCAAAACTGCCAGGGTGATCCCAATCTTCAAAAAAGGCGATCCAGAAGATGTCAAATGCTATAGACCTGTATCACTCCTTCCAGTTTTTTCTAAAATTCTTGAGAAAGTTGTCTTTGATCAACTGTCAAATTATCTTGAATCAAACATGTTATTGGATAACCAACAACATGGTTTCAGGCCAAACAAATCAACAATAACAGCCGGTATTGAATTTGTTGAATCCATCATCGAATCTATTGATAGGGGTGAAAAAGTTGTAGGCATTTTCTTGGACTTGTCCCGGGCGTTTGACAGTGTTGAACACTGCAAATTAATTGAAGTCCTTAGCTATCTTGGTGTAAAATCTACCGAACTGGCATGGTTTCGCTCATACCTCTTACAGAGAAAACAATTTGTAGAAATAGAATATTTTAAAGATCATTCAAGATATTTGTATAAGGAAAAATTTGCCTCTCGTCCATTACCAGTGCGGTACGGTGTCCCCCAGGGATCTATTTTGGGCCCTTTACTGTTTCTATGTTACCTGAAGGGTTTACCTGAATTGACATGGGACAGAAATAGTAAAGTGTGTCTTTATGCGGACGACACTAATGTAATTGTTTCTGCTAACACAGTAGAAAATGTTGAAATGTCATCTTTAATTGGCTTATCTTTAATAAAAGACTTTTTAAATAGTAAAAATCTTCTTTTAAATTCTACTAAATCAAATTTTGTGTCATTTTCAACTAAGAGAGCGAGAAATGGGACAAGTCCAACAATTTTCATTGAAAATGAAATTTTGAACCATGTAAATGAAACTAAATTCTTGGGTCTAATTATAGACGAACATTTATCATGGGACAACCATATTGAACATGTTATAAATAAAACATCTAGTGGCATACACGCTTTAAGGAAAATGGTCCATTGGTGTAATCTAAAAACCATGAAATCTATTTACTTCGCCCTAATTCATTCTCATATTGCCTACGGTATTAGTATATATGGATCGACAACAATAAAGAACATGGACAAAATTCTCATTCAACAAAAACGTGCATTGAGAATAATGTTTCATCTGAAACGAAAAGTTTCAGTGAAACATATTTTCAAGGATTTAAAAATATTAACAGTTATCGGCTTATACATTTATGAAACAATAAAATTTACACTACCCAACAATAAAATTTCAATTGGCAACACAACCCATTCGTATAACACAAGAGCTCATCGTTTAGTTGAACAACACAAATTGGAATTTTTTAAAAAGAAAACCACTTACATGGGCAATTTATGTTTTCATAACCTCCCTCAAAATATTAAATCAGAGAAAAACCATAAAAGGTTGTTAAAATTACTTAAAGAATATCTAATTAAATCTGCTTTTTACTCTCTCCAAGACTTTATCTCATAGCAACTTTATTTTTCTTGAAAATATATGATTTTTTAACTCTCTCTCTCTCTCTGTCTCTATCCTCTTGTAGTTTTTGTAACTAATGTTTATTTTGTATCTTAAACATAATTTTTATTTAAAGGTTTCCTCTATGTATATATTGTAAATACTGTATGATGTGGGAAACTCAGTTACATGTGACGTAGTATGAAACTATTTTATATTATTTTACCTTATGTTGTATGACCTTATGTTATATTTACCTTATGTGTGACTCTATTCTTTGTAAATGTTACAAGAAACAGAATAAAGATGATATTGAATTGAATTGAATTGAATACAGGCTAAAAAGGATTCATGTTTTGGATCTAAGAACACGTTTTGTTTGAACAATTTAATTTTCCCTTGTTTAGTTACATATTTATTTTTCCATTGAAATATTTTTAAGTTAGCTCTGTCAATGGACAGAGATTAACTAACGTTTTATTAAAAGTTGTTATTGTATTTGCTAAATGTTCTAAAAATGAACGGATTGTAAATAAAATTGTGATATAAAAAAAACCAAGCTTGGGTAAACCAACTTATAAGCTAAAACTAGGTTTGTTTTAAGCTTCAAAGTTTACTATTTTTTAGCTTGGTATTTAAGCTTAACCCAAGCTTGGGTAACCAGCATATAAGCTTAAACTAGGCTTATTTTAAGCTACAAAGATTTACTTTTTTAGCATGTTATAAGCTTGGTTTTTAGCTTAACCCAAGCTTGGATAACCAGCTTTTAATGTTTAAACCAGGCTTGTTATAAGCTTGGTTTTTCAGGTTAACCCAAGCTTGGGACTAGGCTTATTTTAAGATTGGTTTTTAAGCTTAACCCAAGCTTGGGTAACCAGCTTATAAGTTTAAACTAGGATTGTTATAAGCTTGGTTTTTAAGCTTAACCCAAGCTTGGGTAAACCAGCTTATAAGCTTAAACTAGGTTTGTTTCAGCTTTAAAGTTTACACTTTTTCAACTTGTTGTAAGCTTGGTTTTTAAGCTTAACCCAAGCTTAGGTAAACCAACTTATAAGCTTAAGCTAGGTTTGTTTTAAGATTCATAGTTTACTCTTTTTTAGCTTGGTATTAAGGCTTAACCCAAGCTTGGATAACCAGCTTATTAGCTTAAACTAGGCTTGTTTTAAGCTTGGTTTTTAAGCTTAACCCAATTTGGGACTAGGCTTGTTATAAGCTTGGTTTTTAAGCTTAACCCTATTTGGGACTAGGCTTGTTATATGCTTGGTTTTTAAGCTTAACTCATGCTTGGGTAACCAGCTTTTAAGCTTAATCTAGGCTTGTTATAAGCTACAAAGGTTTACTTTTTTAGCTTGTTATAAGCTTGATTTTTAAGCTTAACCCAAGTTTGGGTAACCAGCTTATAAGCTAAACCTTGGCTTGTTATAAGCTTGGTTTTTAAACTTAACCCAAGCTTGGGTAACCAGCTTATAAGCTTAAACTAGGCTTGTTATAAGCTAACTCATAATAATACTACACAACGTACTACTTTGTAATAGTTTTACAAAGGTTTACTTTTTTAGCTTGTTTTAAGCTTGGTTTTTAAGCTTAACCCAAGCTTGGGTAACCAGCTTATAAGCTTAAACTAGGCTTGTTATAAGCTACAAAGGTTTACTTTTTTAGCTTGTTATAAGCTTGGTTTTTAAGCTTAACCCAAGCTTGGGTAACCAGCTTATAAGCTTAAACTAGGCTTGTTATAGGCTACAAAGGTTTACTTTTTTAGCTTGTTTTAAGCTTGGTTTTTAAGCTTAACCCAAGCTTGGGTAACCAGCTTATAAGCTTAAACTAGGCTTGTTATAAGCTACAAAGGTTTACTTTTTTAGCTTGTTTTAAGCTTGGTTTTTAAGCTTAACCCAAGCTTTGGACTAGACTTGTTATAAGCTTGGGTAACCAGATTATAAGCTTAAACTGGGCTTGTTATAAGCTACAAAGGTTTACTTTTTTAGCTTGTTATAAGCTTGGTTTTTAAGCTTAACCCAAGCTTGGGTAACCAGCTTATAAGTTTAAACTAGGCTTGTTTTAAGCTACAAAGGTTTACTTTTTTAGCTTGTTATAAGCTTGGTTTTTTAGCTTAACTCAAGTTTGGGTAACCAGCTTATAAGCTTGACCTTGGCTTGTTATAAGCTTGGTTTTTAAGCTTAACCCAAGCTTGGGCCTGGGCTTGTTATAAGCTTGGTTTTTAAGCTTAACCCAAGCTTGGGTAACCAGCTTATAAGCTTAAACAAGGGTTGTTATAAGCTACAAAGGTTTACTTTTTTAGCTTGTTATAAGCTTGATTTTTAAGCTTAACCCAAGTTTGGGTAACCAGCTTATAAGCTAAACCTTGGCTTGTTATAAGCTTGGTTTTAAAGCTTAACCCAAGCTTGGAACTACGCTTGTTATAAGCTTGGTTTTAAAGCTTAACCCAAGCTTGGAACTACGCTTGTTATAAGCTTGGTTTTTAAGCTTAACCCAAGCTTGGGTAACCAGCTTATAAGCTTAAACCAGGCTTGTTATAAGCTACAAAAGTTTACTTTTTTAGCTTGTTTTAAGCTTGGTTTTTAAGCTTAACGCAAGCTTGGGTAACCAGCTTATAAGCTTAAACTATTCTTGTTATGAGCTACAAAGGTTTACTTTTTTAGCTTGTTTTAAGCTTGGTTTTTAAGCTTAACACAAGCTTTGGACTGGACTTGTTATAAGCTTGGTTTTTAGGCTTAACCCAAGCTTGGGTACCAGCTTATAAGCTCAAACTAGGCTTGTTATAAGCTTGGTTTTTAAGCTTAACCCTAGCTTGGGTAAACGAGCTTATAAGCTTAAACTAGGTTTGTTTCATTTTCAAAGTTTACTCTTTTTCAACTCGTTGTAAGCTTGTTTTTTATGCTTAACCCAAAATTGACCATTGCAAATAAATTATTACTATACAAAGTAATCCTGAAGCAAATTTGGACTTATGGAATCCAACTGTGGGGAACGTCCAGTATGTCGAACATAAACATCATCCAACGATTTCAGTCAAAAGTTTTAAGGTTCATTCTGCAAACCCCGTGGTATGTTAATAACAATATCCTTCACAAGTACAGTGGAATTCCTAAGGTTGAAGAGGAAATAACCAAATTTAGTGCAAAATATCTAAAGAAACTTGAAAATCAACCTAATCACCTGGCTCTAAACCTCTTGGACAACAGTACCAGTATATACAGGCTAAAAAGGATTCATGTTTTGGATCTAAGCACA